AGAGAGAGAGAGAGATTGTTTTGTAAGGTAGGGTGAGAAAGAAATTGACATGGGTCGGTTTCGAAGTGGACTCGTGATAAAGAGAATAGAGGTGGAGTTGGTGGAGGCAATCATTTAAAAAATGACTGAAATGAATAGCCTTTTTGTGGAAGAAATACATTAATTTATAAAAACAAAATAATGCAGTGTATAAGTAGTAGAGGTGGAGGCAATCATTTAAAAAATGACTGAAATGAATCGCCTTTTTGTGAAAGAATTACCTTAATTTATATAAACAAAATAATGTAATGTATAAGTCATTCACAATGAATCCCTTTGTTTTTCCATCAAATTTTCTTATTTGTCCCGTTTTAATTTTCTTTCCCATTCTGTGGGTTGGGCGTTGATGAGCCATGCCTATACTGTCTCTGTTTTACCCCTTTTGAAACGTTGCATTAGTTTGTGTTTTCTTTTTTTTCTTAATGATATTTCCGTTTAGCTTTCATATTTATCTAATACCTTTTCAAAGCATACATTGAACAATTAATTTTTGGGCTTTTAAGGAATAAATCATATAACATTCTAACATCTAACTGTTCTACTTATAAATCATGTAAGATTCTATTTAACATGTTACCGTTTTACTTGTTTTCAACATATAATCCATATGATGATAAGTTATATGATTTGCAATATACAGCAACTATATGATGAAAACTTCGTGGTTTGCATCTTAGGTGAAAGGAAATGGCTGTTAAGTCCCACATCGTAAAAATTGGAAGCATATGGGTTGGTACCAGGTAGTTATAAATGACGCTGAAAAGCGTGAGGGTGGCAGAGGGTGTTGTACTTGCCCAATGAAGAGGAGAGGGGTGGGCCACACCACTGCCCCCTTCAAAAGAAAAAAATTTCAAAAAGGATCACAAAGAAGGTAAAAAAAAAAAAAACTAATACAGGAGCTGTCTGGTTCTGCCGGACAGAGTTATCGGTTCTCTAACAGAACTGTCCGTTTCCGGTTCTATCAGAGAACCTGCCGTGTCATGGGGGGTATTGGTCGGTTCCCGATATTTAACGTGAATTGGTTCGGCCCTCCAAATTTCGATTTCGATTTTCTGGCTCCTATATGGATCGGTGTTTTTTTAAACGTTGGTTTAGATCTTAGTTGTTACAACTCATTTAGGAACCTAGGATATGGGTGGTGGTTTGTACAATAGGTAGAGGGAAAAAACTTGATGTTTAGTCATAAAGCTTAAGATATGGATGGTGAAGATTTCCAACTCTTTATGGTAGAAGTTCCCTTGTGCTTGTTGGCATCTGAATGTTGTCTAAGGGGAGCCGGTGCTTGCCTCTGAAAGTATTTGTAATCTAGTGGAGGCTAAGCCTTCAGTTACTATTATTTTTCTCTCTTTCCAAATGTTGTTGTTGTTGCTGTTGTCGTTATTGTTGTTTTTGTTTTTATTATTATTATTTTTAGAAGTAGTAGTAGTAGCAATTGTAGTAGTACTAAATTGGTAATGACAGTACTAGAAATTGTAACAATGAGAAGTCTTTTGTTGTGGGGAAGTTTAATCAGGCAAGAGCCATTGATGGGGTGGGGTAGTGGTCCAGTGGTTTCATGGTGGGAGTGGGAAATACTAGGCTTTTGTGGGATCTTTGCTATGTAGAAAAATGGTGGATGTCTATGGGAGTGATGTCGTTGGAAAGCATTATTCTACCATTCAGTTCCCCTGCACTTTTTTGGCTGAGTTTACACTAGATCACTTCTGGAGTGAGCTTAGAGGTGGTTATGTGCAGCCAATGGCTGGTTCAAAGCTTAATTTTGATGTAGGTTCACTGCATAATCTTGAATGTGCAAGATGTAACCATACCTACTGCTGCTTTATGGACATCTCACTTCTTCAAGCCAATGGAGGAGCCAGTAGTGTTGTGGATGTGAACATTGCACAACCAAGCCTCTGTGCTTTCTCGTGTTGAGGTCACTGGACATTTAGGACTTTGCATCTTTTAACGTTATTTCTTATCTCTTCTAGCACCGTTTTATGAATTGCTGAAAATCAAGAATCTTAAATTTTCTAACTCCAAGATTTGATGAGTTACGGTTTTGAAAAAAAAAAACAAAAGATTTGATGAATTCTAAACTTTGAAACATAAGCGAATATTGGATTTTTAAAATCCGGGACAGGATTCGCCCAAAGTTATTTTAAGATATACTAAAATGAAATTGTTTTGCTTTTTGGTTTTGTGTTTTTACATGGTCAGAAATTTGTCGAGGTTAAAAGAATGGGTGCTTTATTATTATATTCAGTAAAGTTCAGGTCTATTAATAAATAATGTCAAATAAATTAAGATGCTCTTTAAAGTGATGAGAACATGTTCTAAACTGGCAAACTGGAGAATCTGACCAGACAGGCCACTTCACAAGTGGTTGTTCCTGCTTCTGGTAAAACTATTCCGAATATCCCCATACGGAAACTACACGAAGTATGTGCGTAATCATACATGGTTTTAACTGTTTTTGGTCTTTTTTTTTTTTAACTTTATTGTTTTGTACCTTGTTTCCTCTAGGGCTGCTATAGGGGAAAAGAAGAGGATTGAGAGCAAGAAGGCTCTTTCCCAAAAGAAGGACTTCAGAAGGAGCAGAGGTAGTTGGGACTAATGCATGCTGGTTTTTTTTTTGGGTAATTCACTGGAGAAGACAGGCCCTACCCATTTTTTCAATAGACTAGGGAGATGCATTTTGAAGGTGTTAATTGCGGGTGTCAGTGGTAGGAATGGATACCACGATGTGGTAACCGGGTGTGGGGATGTTACCACCACGACCCCTCCTACGATCTCCGCGGTCTGGGATTCATTATAGCGCTTTAAATTTGCCTTCTATATTCCCAACCTTTTTGTTGTTTTTTGCCAATGTTGTCTTCACTGTCCAGTCAATATTCTTAACCAGTTGTGTTTGAACATATTAGGCTGATTCTAGCCCATATTTAGCTGTCTAATATGCCGTAGATGAAAAGTGCTTTTTATCTTCTTTAACAAGCATTTTTGTGTTCTGCTGATAACTCAAGAATCCCTGTGGGACCTGTATCTCATATTTCCATATATTCGAATGCTGTATCGATCACCTGATTGACCCATATTTGGCCTTTCTGAGATGGGCTTGATGTTATTTTCATTTCAATTGCAGAGAGAGAGAGAGAGAGAGAGATTGGTAGTAAGGAGTTGCTTGTGCCTTAAATAGTTTGAATGTATAAAACACGTAGCAGATCTCTAGAAGATGTAGACGCAACATCCACAAGTCATCCTTGCCTGGATTTCCTCAAGAATTTGGTTCTGATTCTTTTTTTGTCAGCCAAGGCAAGCCCTCTTTTCAGCAACAGTAAACCCACTCCACACTCAATAAAACTCAACGAATGCCATTTTGTAAAACCAAAAAGATTTTACTCTCTAATCCCTCAACCCCTGACTGCTACTCCCCCGTCCCCCCCCCATCCCCCCATCTCTCTCTCTCACTCAAAGGACTATGTTTTCCAATCCCACCAAAACCCAGAAGCCCAATCCCTCCTCTGAAGACACACAAAAGAGGCTCGAACGTGAGATTAGAGACATAGTCTCTGTCCTCACACACCGCCTCCTTGATTTTCCGGCATCCTCCATGGATGATCCAGCAGCTGGTATCATAACTCTTGCTGGATGCAACACTGGTGCTTCACTAAAGGCTGATATTGATGGGCTAAATGCCAACCATTTTGGGCTTTCAAGTGATGGGGAAGAGGTGATGAGAGCATGTGCAAACAGTAATTTTCAAGCTGTGAACAATTCCATTATGTTTGGTGCAAGTTGCAGTGCGAAGAATCCCGGTGTCCATATGGTTATCACTACACTTGATGATTCTGGGCATTGGTCAGATGATGGATCTGGTAAGAAAGAAGAGAAAAAGATGCACAAGAGCAAGATATCATCTTCCAGGTCTGATAAAGAAGGTGCTGAAAGTGCGTAGCCTAAAACCATAGGCTAAAATATAAAAATAAATATTACATGGTATTGGATGCAATGCTCCTGATCTTCTGGATTTAGGGGAAGCAGTGAATAAAAGCAAGGTGGGGCTAGCTGTCTCACATTAGGTAGATGGCATTTTGTTTGATTCTTGTTTATTTTGTAAGGAATAAGATATGAGAATGGTGATTGTGTGTTTTTTTTTTGTTTTCTCATGCACGGTGTTTTGAAAGTTGATATGAATTAAATGTGATACTCGGCGTTGCTTACTGGAATTGTGATTTCTAGGTGGGTACAGCTTGCAAGATGATCAAGATAAGCCTCCTCTATAAGAGGCAAATTTCGCTTTTTCTTTTTACTTTTTGTTTTAGGAAGAAGCCTTTATCCTTTGTCTTCATTTAGCATGTAAGAAACGGGACGTAGGGCAAAGACAGTTGCGTGTTACTTCTCCTTCTTATGGGCATTTCCACCTGGTATTTAGTTTTTTTTTTTTTGGATTTTTTAATATATGGAAAATGAGAGAACAATTATAAAAGAACATTGTGAAGGATTGAAACGTCCATCTACCTCATGAGCTGTATTGCAGTTAGCAATCCTGTGTATAAAGGGCGTAGTTTGCATTAGGCTGCAATCTTAAACAATAAAAATAAAGTGCACCTCCAAATTTTTGCATAAGGTTGCAATCTTAAACAATAAAATTAAAGTGCACCTCCAAATTTTGTAGTGATGCAATTGGGTGTTGAAAATTTTTAGATGGTGCAAGAATATATTTTTATTTGTAACTATAAACTTTTGAACTTTAAAAATGGCACAAATCAAGTAGATCTATAAACGTGAAAATCTAGAAAATGGATTGTCCGGTATTGCAAGATGCATTAGGTTTAGGACTTGAAATATCTTTTTTTTTCCATATATTTTTTTTCACGTCTTGATGCAGAGATAGATCAATTAGATGTTTTGACAACATAAAAACATATGTTTTCAAAGGATTTTAGAGGTGCTCTTTAATTCTACATTTTAAAGTGTAAACAATATATAAGCTTTTTCACTATTTAGATCATGATTTTTAATAAGATGCAGTTTCTATATACTTCACCTTGAAACTTCGTTCGAAAAGCATTTTGGCTATGTTAAATTTCTATGATGACTTTAAAATTATTTCTACTACTTATTATGAAATTCGTAGCTCAAAAAAATGATATAAATCTTGCGGATTTATATGAACTCTTAAAAAGGGACCTTTTTTAGGGGTCAAAATCCCCTTTTTTTTTACAATCACAGGGAGAGATGATTAATTTGAAAGTTTTAAGATGCCGATTGTACAATTTTCAAGGAGTTTTAGGTTGAGGCTTTACTTTTTTCCATAAGGCCAATGAGTTAGTTTAAACTTTTTTTAACTTTTTAAGAAACAATGCAAATGTCCTAATTTCTAAACATATGCAAAAATATTTTTTTAAGAAAGGAAAATTTAGAGGTCTACTATAATCCAAAATTTTTTAGAAACCAGGCCTAATAGGACAGCTCCTGCGCATGCCAAAAAGTGTTCAAAGAAATTTTAAAAAATAGAAAAATGCTAAAAAAATATTTAAAGCATAATTAAACATAACACATCTAAATGAAATTGAAGAGTAGTAAAAAAATTGATTTTAAAAATCAATTGGGCCTCGGGGTATTTCTAGAAACGGTGCGGTTTGTATAGAGCCTAGGCTCTAAACCATCAAATTAGAGCCTACCTTCAAAATAGTGTCGAGAAATGTAGTTTCACTACTGGAAATCTTTGTGATGGCTTTAAAACATACGTTCATATTTATTTATAAAGTTTAAAGCTTAAAAAATAGTGTAGATCGACAGATCTATGAAAACTTGAAAATTGATAGTCCAAAAATACGTTACAAAATGTACTATTTCCAAAACTTGAAATCCAATTTTTTCTCATGTCCATGCATCTTGATGTCGAGATAATCAAATTGAAGATATTTAGGCATCAAAATGACATCTTCTAATGGAATTTTTGAGGTAGGCTCAAATTTGATTGTTTAGAGCCTCGGTTTTATATAAACTTTTCCGTTTTAGAAATAATCTAAAAAAAGGAAAAATGTAAAAATAAGTATTCATGGCCAAAACACATTCCAATTTTTGCCAATTTGATAAAAAATATTAAAAATACATTACAAACAAATCCCATATATATATATATATTCATTTACTTATTTGAATTTTTTTAAAATACCCTGTTGGACCACCTAAACCGGCCAAAACCACTTGGCTAGTGGCTAGTTCCAAGTCGGACCGGCCGGTTTGTTGAACATTGGGTTAAACATGATAGGATTTTAATGATGATTTGGTATTTCACTACATACTGAATTTTTTCTATATAAGTTGTTAATCTTCCATGAAAACTTCACAAAAAAAATTATATGTACACACACATAGAGGAAAACACTAAAAAACACTTGTGACCGAATTTCTATAGTATTTTGCTCATGGGTCACCACCATCTAATGTCTATCAGATGGTCATGATTATCAGATTTTATTTTATTTTATTATTATAAGATGCATTATTTTTAAAATTTGAAATCTACTTTTTTTTGTGTCAATTTATCTTGAGGTCAAGATGATTGAATTGATGGTTTTTCAGCTTCCAAACAACCTCTCCAGCTTAACTTGATCATTTAGGCTCCACCTTTATGTAAACTTTTTCCCTTCTAATAAGCCGTTCTTTTAAAAGAAATGAAGGACGAAGGTTTTTATAAGGCCCTAGGCTTTATGAAAACAAAACAAACCCTCACCTCAAATCCTTGTCCGGAAAGAACTTTCGGCGATAGAAATTTTCATGATAGCTCTAGAATCAATTTTCAACATCGACAATGAATTTCAAAACGAAAAAAATAATACAGATTTTCTGGATCCAGAAATACACTATTTTTAGAGCTTGAAATCTTATTCTAGTTTTCACAACCGTAATGATGAAGCCAAAATGGTTGGTGTAAAGGTTTTCTAATACTTAAATTACAATTTTCAATGAGTTATGAGGTGAGGTCTTATTTGTTTTGATAGAGCTGCAGTCCTATCAAACCATTTTCTACTATCTAGATTATCGATTTTCAATATTTTCAATTGTTCATAAATTAACACCTTTTTATTTTCCACAAAATTATTCTCATTGCACTTTAAATTTCTTTAATTTCACTTCCACTTTTAAACTAGCCTCTGGTTCGGCCATTATTACTAAATTGGTCCCCCTTGGGCCTCATATTTGGAGCAGGAAAGGATTATATTGTTGAGATGGGTTTTTCCGGGCAAGTTCGGACGGCGGTGGCAACGGTGTTGGTTCAATTTTTGACGGTAGGAGTGAGCATCTTGTCTCAAAAAGCGTTGGAAAATGGCTCAAATGTTTTTGTGATTGTGGCTTACAGAAACCTTATTGCTGCTCTGCGTATTGCCCCATATGCCTACTTTAAAGAGAGGTGCGTGTTTATATATCTCTCTATCCCTTACTGCAAGAGATTACAAAATGATTATGAGTTAAAATGAACAATATTTTTGCCCATAAAGCTCGGTGCCGTCCAATTTTTTCTGACTACGTAGATTAAAGACTATCACGGACCTAACATGTTCGTGGCGGTCCATCATGGACATAGCAAGTTCATGATGAGATTTTTTTCATGTAAATTTGAGACAAAAAATATGGGGGGACCGCCACGGCTTTTAGGCAAAACTTAT